AAAAAAAAAAAAAAAACGTTTAAAACATGTCTAAAAGTTTCACTTACTAACGTCTCGAGCAGAAACTTACAGTACAAGTAAAGTACTAGTGAAAATCAGAGTAAAATTACCTAGATTATTTTTGTATAACTGTAGTAAAAATTGGTACTTCTTACAAAACACCAATTTACACTACAATTATACAAATTTCCATTACTGAAATAATTTTCAATAATGCGCTACACCGTGTAATCAAATTTCTCCAAATTATTACACGATTAAGAATACCACTTGTAAATATAATTTAGTAATCAAAAACATTGACCATATTTGTGATCTTTCACGTACTGTTGGTATCGTAAAATAAATGAAGAAACTACCGGGAATTCGAAAAGACCCGCAGTTAAAGAATGTGCGACAGGGTACATTCAGATTTCACAAGGCGTGAAGAATTTTCATTCATACATATCGCTCAGTGTTGTACCAAAGCAAAGACACCAATAAACTTACTTTTCAATTTTTTGTGTTCTAATAAAATCAATTTTTGCAGGTAGCTCTAATTTTTATGTCCGGTAACCACGCAAACCTTTCTAAACCACTGTTAAACTATCTTGTCAACAACGAAGACGCCTTTCTAAAATATCTGTTACTCTTTGCAACTTGGAACTAAATAGCGCCAAGTGAGCTAACGGGCAAGCGAAATGGACCTCAGACGTCACCTCAAACTGGCAAATCCACGGTTTCTCTAAAACGCTTACAGACATAATATAAGCAAACAGAGAACTTTAAAACAGTGCGCTTGCAAAAAAAGTAAAAGCAATAAATCATCTTCCTTTTCCAGCTTCTAATTTTTGACCTCAACAATAGAGTTTCAAAAATACTCCGATTTCAAGCCCTTTTAAGAAAATTGTGTAGCTTTGTAAAAGTCGTGTACCCAAAGACTTGATGCCATGCTTTACGCACGAGGCTGCCCGTCCAATTACTTGGCTTAAAGCATGAATATTGTCCAACAAGAGTAAGGTTAGGATTAAGGCGTCAAAACGGTTCCAGCACTTGTACAGTACCGACCCAGGTTTGTAATACTTCTTAAAGGAAAAAAGCTCATTATTCAGCTTTTCTGAAGGTA